AAGCAATGACTAAAATAAAGAGTTACAGCTAATAAGCCAACAAGGAAATAGAACAAAATAATAAAAAAACTGGATTAATCCACAGGAAGGCAGGAAAAAAACACAGGAAAGATGGCACAAATCGCCCCACCAATAGCGTCGGTCTTTGTTCTCTGAGTTGTTGAAAGTGTAGATCTGGGTGGGCTACATGATTTCTTCATTTATATAATTATATTGCTATATTTATATAATTTTGGTTATGAAAGATAAGGCTGGGGAAAGCTGAGACCAAAGGAAATGAAATTATTTTACATGATAAAGTAATCTGGAGTTGCCTGCTGGTAGCTGGAAAAGAAGGAGGTATGGGATAGAAGGAATAGAGAACAGAGAGGAATATCCCCCAAACTCAGCGTGGGTCCCAGAAATGGCAGCAGGCTGAGGCCTAAGGTTAAAGAGGCCAGTTAAGATATATCCTGTAACAGCTGATAAACATTAACACAAAGTTGTTTTTTTTAAGAGAGAGAGGGAGAAAGCGCATGCGAGCACAAATGGGGGGGAGGAGGGGAGAGGGAGAGGGAGAGTCTCAAGCAGACTCCCCGCTGAGAGTGGAGCCTGATGCAGGGCTGGATCCCACACACGACCTGGAGATCATGACCTGAGCCGAAATCAAGAGACGCTTAATCGACTGAGCCACCCAGGCACCCCACTGATAAACATTAAGATAAAACAAAAATGTTAAAATGCTTTCTGTTCTTTGTGGCAATTCTGCCAGCCCCTCCCCCCCCAAAAAAACTTCATTATAAGTTTATTACATTCAACGGCTTTGCATTCGTTTTTTCCTTAGGGAAATGAAGGCTGAGGAACTGGATCAAATGTTTGGGGCAAAGCAGCTTAGGGAGAGACTGTCAGCTAGGAGAGTGGTCAGGGAAAGAGGGGATAAGAACTGAGTCAGAGCAGGAAACCTAGTCTGAATTATGTGGGGTGGAGATTCATTTTATGTTATTTAGATTTGGATACTGAAGGAAAGGATTATCCCCAAATCTAAGAGGACTCACAGAGTCCTACACAAACCTCCAGCTAGTCTCCCTGCCTACTGTGTCACTCCACACCAATCCGATCTCCCACACAGGATCCTGAGCCACCTCTCTGAAGCACAGGCCTGACTATGTCCCTTCCCTGGGTCCTCGCTGCTCAGTGACATAAAGCCACTAATGTGGTCAGTTAGCTTTTCCGACTGGGCCACTGTCTCCACAAGCCTCCCTGCCACCGCGGATCTCAGCTGTGCCAGACATCTGGTTCCTCTGATCCTCTGTCCCTCACGGTCTCAAATGCTAGTCAGTCAACTGGAGCATTCTTCATCACTCCCTTCCTCCATCATCTTGGGTCTGTGGCATCTTCACCGGGTTATCCTGCTGCTTCAGGTGGAAGCTTAGATATATTTTCTGGAAAGTCTTCCCTGACATCTGGTTTGAACTTTTGAACTCTGAACTTGTCCTATGAAAGTACATATCACCACAAATGAACTGTTTGCTTATTTGTTCCTCTTCTTTACCAGGCTGTGAACTCTGGGTGTAAGGACCTGGACTCCTGTTTACTGTGGAACCCTCCGTGCCTAAACCAGAACTTGGTGTCGTGCAGCCAATAAAATCTGGGTTGAGTGACTGACTGAAGAACGGACTCAGTTCTATTAATTATGAACATTTGTGTCATCTTAGAACTCTGACAGTTCTATGAGGAAACCCTGCATGGGGATGAAGGGGCATCCTAACAGATTTCACCATTATTTGGCTTTAATCCTGTGAATTTTAGGATTTTGGCAGGAGAACCTCTTTATAAGCTCAGAAGACCAGGATGGTAACTAGAAAGATAGGCACAAGGAACTTACTGCCATGGGACAAATGAACCTCTTCCTCCAGCAGAGAGGAATCTGGGCAATCCCCAAGCAGCAGACCCAGAGGTGAATGCTGGGTGGTTTCAGTTACAGCTGAGAGGAAGAGTCCCTGGGACAGCTAAATGAGCCGTCTCCTGTCTCACGCTGTCAGTTCTGAGGGCCCGAAGGAGCTCTCTCTCACCTAACCCTCACAGGCCTCTCACCTGACACAGCCGCGTGGGGAGTTCTGAAGAAGCGACCCTGATCTGACACTGTCTCCCCCCAGGAACCCTGCTTGCCCTCTGCTTTCACCTTGCTCATCGTCACTCCGGCTCACCCCACACGCACGTGTCCTTGCAGCCCCCTCTCCGCGCGGGCACGCTTTCCCAGCGGGGATGGAGCCAGTTCACCTCTGGCTCACCAGAGGCCAGTACAGTGGCTGGTGCAGAGTGTCGGACAGCCAGCCTGCACTTTCCAAAATGCCCAGGGCATGGCATGGAAGGTAGAAAATGAAGTCTGAGAAGCCGCTGCAGAAAAAGCGAAGTAAAGAGAGAGAACAACCACATGTAGTGGATGGTCCTTCACTGGATCTTGGACTAGGGGAAAAAAACAGCTAAAACAACATTATTGGGACAACTGGGGAAACTTGGTATGGACTATATATATCAGCTGGTAGATTTTATTAATGTTAAATTTCTTGAGTGCGAGAATAGTACTGTGTTCCCTGCTCCTAGGAGACACATAGGGAAGTTTATTAAGGATCAAGTCTCTCATCTGCAGTTAACTCTCAAATGGTTCAGTAAATAAAAATACACAGACTTAGAAAACAGGTATAGTAAATATTGCAAAAGGTGAAGTGGTAAATCTAGATGAAGAGTGCACGCTTGCTCACTGTACTATCTGTACAACTTTTCTGTAGGTTTTAAGTTTTTCAAAATAAAACACTGGAGGAAAAAAGTCAAGTCTCACCTCAGATGAGGAAGTCTAATGGGATCTGCATTTGATGACTTATCTGCTATACCAGAAGTGCATGGTCCGTCAGGCCAAGACCCTAAGGGCTAGGGTAGTGTGGAGACAAGCTGCAGGGCAGGGGATGGGAAGGCTCCATAAGTACCTAGATAAGAGAGGTGGTAGCTTCGGATGTTGAACTAGCAGAAGTGTGTAGCCGGGCAGAAGGGTGGGAGTGAGAAACCCCAGATCCAAGGGGCAAAGCAAAAGATAGCCCTGTGCAGATCAGACTCTTTGGCAGAGGCGGGGGTAAGTAATCAGGAAAGCACAGGAAATGACAGATGATCAGAGGTGGAGCAAAGAGTCAGGAAGGCAGGCAGGCAGGTAAGCAGGAGGGAAAGATAAGCGAAGGAGCACAGAGGAGTGAGAAATCTAGGCAAAGCTCTGGCTTGTCTGGGCACAATTAGAATGCTCACTTCAGGGAAGCAAACAGAAACTGGGGTGAGAGCAGCCAAGTTGCTAAGCACCCAGGATGGGACACAGAAGTTAGAGAGTGAGCACAGGAAGGCCCAGAGGGTTGGCTGAATCCGTCTGAAAATGAGGGCAGGAAGAGGGGCAGCCAATGGTGGAATGTGATAACCTGGTCTTTGTCTCTTGTTGGTGAAGCAAGAGGGTAGAGTGGCTAAAGCTTGCTTCCTCCTATCTGGCAGCTGAATCAGAGAGATGCAAACTGGAACAGAATTCCCAGGAAACCTCAGGCCTCAATTCCAAACTCCCTCCGTGACCGCAGGCCCAGTGCGCACATCCCTGCCAGTCTCGGCCCGCTGCTACTAGTTTGATTCTCTTCGTTCTTAATGCTGCCACTCGACTGAAGAATTCTGGGTTCCTGGTTCTTGGAGAAATCTCTCTCTAGACTAGCAGCTAGCCTAAGTGTACACGACCCCCTCTCATGTATCCATTCCTGCAGAAGCTCAGGGAGGCCTCACTTTCATTACTGAGTGCAGTTCAGAGTTCCTGAAGGCCAACAGCTAGGGATATTTAACCAGCTGCCTTTGTCTGCCCCACCGCCACCGTGCCCAGCCCAGTCCCCCAGTGCAACATGCTAAGAACGTTTTTTTCTCTTCTCAGATTCTGATGATGAAAGCAAGCAAGAGAGCAGGTTAGAGAAGAAGTTCCCTCCTAAGAAATGGAGCAGTGAGGGGGCACAGACATGTCTGCAGGGACCAGGCCAGTCTGGCCCTCCCGAGGAGTATTTGAAATTCAGGTTGTCTTTCTGCCCTGCATGCAAGTCATAGGAGCAATGCTCACTGGGGTGCAGAGGTCTAGATGGAGGCAGGGCTGGGGCGCTGGGTGAGCAGTCACTTCCCTAGGCACCTTCTCGAGAAGTGGCACTTTTATCAGGAGTGAGTTAAGAGAATGATAAAAAGATGCTGGGGGAGGCAGCATGGGAACAAGACTCAGGCAGGTCAGAGGGGGCACCTTTCAGACTTCGGCTCCCTCAGCGACGGACAGCACGGCCCGCTGACCACACCAGCTCTCTGCTCCTCTGCCTAGGACGAGGCCCCTCTCTCTCCATGACCTACTTGCTACGTGTGGGGCCGAGCTCTGCTCCCCTCCCTGTCATGCTGGGTCCCGGGCTCCAGGTGAGCAACACTCAGTTCCCTTCCCTCCACAACCTCTCGGAAGTGCTTAGTCACTGATCCGGCCAGGCCACGCGGCCTCCGCGGGTCTGCTCTGCTAACTGAGAGAGCGATTTTCCAGCTCGAATTGACTTGCTAGACGAGCACGCTGGAGGAGCTAGGGCCACGGGCCAAAGGAAAGAGCGGATGGCCAATCACCGGGGAGCACATTTCCTAATCTGTGGCCTGAGACTAAACCTTTCTGTCACCAAGGGAGAGTTCCCTTAGGCGTTTGCTGCCGGCTTCGCCCGGGGAGGGGTGCTGTGACTTCGGGGTGGCTCCCCAGGCCGCGTGGGGCTCAGAAAGGGAATTGTGAACCACCGTTTTCTAGGGATAAAAATCCAGAGGACAGAAGGTTAACCCTAGAGAGAGGAGACAAAACGCTGGAGAGAGCAGAGTCGGGAAGGGACCAAGGAGTCCCGGGCGCCGCGGCCAAGGCGAGGGACGCAAAGCCAGGTCTCTGGAGCGTGGGTGCCGGGCTGGCAGGTGTGAGGGCCGGCCCCGGGCCCTGGCTGGCGCTGCGACTAGCCCTGTGCCCCCTTCTCAGCCCAGGCCCCATCCCAGCTCCTACCTGGTAGGTACCTGTCGTGGCTGTGGCTGTGCTCGGTGGTGGTGAGGGGCGAGTGAGTCTGTGGAAAGGGCTGGTTGCCAAACAGATTGTCACTGCGAAGGTTGTGGCAGAGTTTCTCCAGGAAGCGCAGGACGTAGGTGATGCTGTTGACGGCTGGGAGGTTGAGAGTGTGCTGTTCACGGTCAAACACGGCTGTGGAATGAAGGAAACAGGGCTGAGCACGTCAGCCTGGCAGTGCAGGGCAGCGAGGGGCAGGAGGAGCCCAGCCTCCCGCTTGCCTCCCGCTTACCTGGTTACACAAAGCAATCAGTGCCCGGGTTTTTCCCTCCCTCCCTTCCCCTCCCTTCCACTTCCCTCCCTCCCTCCCTCAAGGGTTTGATTTTTGCCTCCAACTCCAAAGGGCTTGCTGAAATGGGAGTGGCCAGGCCAGGTCTGGTGCACCTGGGCTCTGAAGTGATTTTACTCAACTTGTGAAAACAACTGTGAACATAACTCTATCTGCTCCATCAGTTGGCTGGGTTTTCTCCAGGAAATCTGCTCATTTCGGGTTCTCTTTCCATAAGAACTGCCCAAGAACAGAGAAACTGGGCAGACGAGGAGAATACAGCTGTTGCCAGCAACAGTTTAGGTGCACGATCTGAGCTGTAGGAGGGCACTAGAGTTTCAGCAACATTTGGAACCATTCCACGCTTGGTTTTATTTTACTCCCTATCTATTTCTATTCAAGAAGTATCTGTATAATCCTTACAAAGCAGAAGGCCTTTGCATTTGTCTCAGGGCAGCAAGGAAATAGGGGGATAGGCCATTCTCAGGATCCAGTTTCAGGGCACAAGAAGAACCCTAGAAAAGTTGTGGGTGGCAGCAACTCCACAGAGGCGGCAAAGCAGGGCGGGTCCCCGCAGGCTACTGCACAGAAGCCTCGGCCTCAGAAGGAAAGGAAGGCTTAATTTCCCAGCAGTCCTCAGCCTCCTAGAACAATGCCTTCCATGCCTGCCCTCATCCTCCACACAGCCAACTGCTCCCTCACCTGGGCTCTCCCACTACCCTGCAAGCATTTCTCACACATTAGAACCCCTCCCCCTGTCATCTCTCCTCCCCCTCCCCTGGCCAGGGTCTGGAAATAACCTCTGACATACGATAAAGGCTCACTAAAGGTGTGCTAACAAAATACAGTTACTTATGGGGTCTTCTACAAGAATACAGGTACTCCTGGGGTCTTCCATGTCAGCTGGCTCTCCTGAGGCTGGATATTGCAACTTGTTAGAGGGAAGGGATGGGGGACTATGCGGTATCGTGCAGTTGAGACCGAAGGCTCCAGGTCAAGTCTTCATAGGTTTGGTAGGTAAGGAGTGGGGTTCTGGACTTGGGAACATTGAAACAGAACCATGGCACAACAGGAAAAGTGAATATTCTCAGTGAAAACAAAAAACACAGAACACAGTGCATTTGAATCAGACAGAGCAGGAGACAGAGAGAGGGAATGGTTTTTCCCACTCTGCCCTGGGATTCAACTTCTTGTAACAGGGCTGGCTTAGGACCGGGCAGCTAAGGAGTGAGAAGAACATGACAAGAGTCCCGTGGTCCCCCGAGGCCAGAGGAGGCTGTGGCAGTCTGGAGAAGCTCCTATTGCCACAGTGTAGCCCCTCTGGATTCTTTCTTCTGGAATGCCTTTACAGCAACACACATCTACTTCCTGTATGCAGAGGCCGAGCAGGCAGACAGGACAGGAGTCTGCCTAGAGGCTTGATTAAGCAGAGTCTGCGTGGGTATTCTACTTGGCAGAGGTGTGCATAAGGCTCAGAGGGGTTCCGGGAGTTGAAAAGGAGGACTCTCGGCGGAATGGAATCCCTTCCCATTTCTCCAGAGCCTGTAGGCGTGAAGTAGGAACCAGGAGGCCTTGCCAGAAATCAGCCAGGGGAGAAGGCCTGCCCCCCTGGCTAGGAGGCCACACCAGCCCCAGGGTGCTTACCTGAGATCACTTCACCGCCGTGGCCCTGTTTCAGGAAGCTGAAGACGGTTTTCTGATGGTACGCACAGTCGATGCAAGCCTGGACAGCCTGTTGCAGCACCACGGAGGCGCGGGCTGGCCCAAAATGGTCAGGGAGCAGCTGGACCTTCTTCTTATCTAAGTGGGGGCCCGGGCTGCCATTCTTGTTCAAGTAAATACAAACTGCAGAGACAAAGAGTCAAAGCAGCTTAAAGAGCATCCGGGGTACAGAAGTGACAGAACAGTGCTCTCTTCTGTCTCACACACTCTGGGCTCTGGTCCCTAGCAGGATTCTCAGCTGCTAGGCTGGTGAAACCCTGGGAGGGGGCAGAGGGTGGCTGTGTCCAGCTGCAATCAGCCCAAATTGCATGACCAAAGGCTCTGGGAACACAGCCTGCTGGAAGGACAGCCCAGACCAAAAGCCAAGGCACAGAACTTGTACTTTGTCTTCTGTGCACTGAAAAGGGAATCTAAACAATTCCCCAGATGTATGTCCTTTCATGTTCAAGACTCAGTCACCTCACACAGTCTTTGTATCTCCTATTACGTGTGTAAGGAGTGGTAGGGGCCAAGGCAATGTCAGCCGGAGTGTGTATGTGTGTGTGTGTTTGGCCTTGCACTTAGAATGGTCACACCATGGGTCATCTGGTTTCTGTTCTGGGCCTCGGAGTCCCTTTGTTATCTTCTGCATTAACACCCAGGCCCAAAGAAAGTAGTAAAATAGACAAACATGGGAATGAAGAAAACCACAGAAAGGGCCGGAGGGGCCCATCCAGAGAGTGTTGTGTGTTTCAGCAGTTTCCCCTGTCGGCCGGCTGGGCACTCTCCTACTGTAGTCCCTAGCTGGCATGCTGCTGGGTGGGGGACAGAGGGAGCATGGGAGTATGAGGCAGTCTGCAACAGAGGTGCTTCCTTGGTCTCCGGACAGGACCCACAGCAGCCTGCTCAGCTATGACATCCTCTCTTCTGATGTGCCTTCTAGGACCTACTTGAGCAGGGTACTCTGCTTTCTCACACGGCTGAAGGAGGAACAGGTGGGCAAAAGGTCTTTCTTGCTATTAAAGGCAAAAAAGCTAAGAGTGGTAGCTGTGTTGGCTGTGGACGGACTGCGTCCTCATCCAGGGGGCCTCAGCTTTAGCCTCTGTTAAGTGAGGAAGCTGTGCAACATGCTGTCTGAGGACTCCTCACCTGATTCAAAGGGAAAGCAAGATGGAGAGAAGGAAATGGAAAATAGTAAGAGAAAGGCAGGATGTGGAAGGTGACAGGCGGAAAAGAAGGAAGGGAAAAGTAAAGGGTAAGCAAGATGAACTGAAATACACATTCAATTCTGTTCTCTCCTAAAACCCTCCAAAATGAGTCACACAATAAAGGAGACAGCTTAAAATTTTGGAAGCTGGAGAGTAGATAATCCAAGTAGCAATTGACTGAGTAGACCCAAGAAAGCCGAATCCTTAACCAAGAATGGGCAAAGATGAGAACCCAGCTGTTTCATCTTATAATTCACAAAAGAGTGAAGAATGGGCAGGTACCTCTGGAGGTGGGTGTGAAGGCAGATCTAATGAAAGAAGGACTGGGTGACGTCTGTTAAGAAACAGCTAGGACTTGCATGTCATGATATGACTCATTCACTGAAAACAAAACAAGTAAAAATGTAGGAACTCCAAGAGGTAAGAAGAGTAGTTAAAATAAACGAAGACCTAGATCTACGAAAAGACACCCATAAGAATGTTCATAGCAACCTATGTTCATAACAGCCTAAAACTAGAACCAACCCAAATGTCTGTCAACAAGAGAATACATATACAAATTGTGGTATATTCATTTATTACAATAGCACTTAGCAGTACAAAAGAATGAACTATTGATAGGGTGCTTCTCAAAAACATTATTTTTAGTCAAAGAAACCAGATACAAAAGGTACATAGAGTATAATTCCATTTATATATTAAGTTCAAGCACAAGGAAGTCTAATCTACAGAAACAGAAATCAGAATAAAGGTAGGAGAGGGATGCCTGGGTGGCTCAGTCGTTAAGCGTCTGCTTTCGGCTCAGGTCATGATCCCAGGGTCCTGGGATGGAGTCCTGCATCAGGCTCCCTGCTCAGCGGGAAGCCTGCTTCTCCCTCTGCCTGCTCTGCCTGCCCCTTCTCCTGTTTGTGCGTGTGGTCTCTCTCTCTGACAAATAAATAAATAAAATCTTTTAAAAAAAAAAGGTAGGAGAGAAGGCTGACTGAAAGGAGGCATGATGTAACTTCTAGGGGTGGTAGAAATGATTTTTATCTTGACTGGGGTTGTGGTTATGTGGTGCTTGCACAGATTAAAACTCATGTAATTGTACATTAAGATATGTACATTTCACTGCACATAAATTTTCCTTAATTAAAACACATGAAAAGGAAAAAATATAACCAGTCCAGTGATAACTACAAAAAAGAAATTCTACATGGATTAAAGGGTGCAATATAAAAGGCAAACTATAAAACCTTTATTTATTTATTTTTTAAAGATTTACTTGTTTATTTGAGAGAGTGAGTGAGCATGAGTACGAGAGAGGGAGAGAAATCTCCAGCAGACTCCCCGCTGAGCAGGGAGCCTGATGCGGGGCTCAATCCCATGACTCTAAGATCATGACCTGAGCGGAAGGCAGATGCTTTACCGACTGAGCGACCCAGACACCCCTAAGCTATAAAACCTTTAGAAGACCGTGGCAGTTTAAAAAAGTTGTTCCCCCCCACCCCAACAACAACAAAAACTTAAAATAAATAAATAAAAAACACGGCTCCCAAACCTTTGACATCCCTTCCATCGATCTCTGTGATACTTGACCAACAGACTATGTAGAAATGACACTCTACCAGTTTCTGGGCCCAGGGCTTAACTAAGAAGCTGACAGTTTCCATGTCCTCTTTCTTGGGACATTCACTCTTAGAACCTAACTAACATGTGTGAAGAGGCAAAGCCACCCTATGGCAAGGTCTATGTGGAGAGAAATCAACAGCCAAAACCAACTTGTCAGCCATATGGTGGGAGGAGGTCCTCTGATCCTAGTCAAGACACCTCAGCTGACACTGCATGGAACGACGCAAGTGATTGCCACCTCGCCCTGCCCACATTGTTGTTTTAAGCCATGAAGTCTGGTGGTGGTTTGCTATGTAGCAAAAGATTACTGAAAGGGATTGTGGTACCAGAAAAAAGCAATAAAGGGCCCCAAAAAGGGTACGGGTGAAAGCATAAAGGGGCTTGAAGAGAAGCCTTTAAAGGTTGGGGGTCAAAGGATTCTTTTCATTTTGTACCATCTCTATCCCTATTAGTCCAGCCTGACAATGCTTCCTGAGAAACTTGAGAATGGACACCTACAGATTTTGAGGAGGCTGCCAGGGAGAGCTTAAGGCAAGTGAGGAAAATCTTACTGGAAGATGGAGGATGGGAGACACTTGCTACGTAGTGATGGAGAGTTTGACAAACTGTCACCTGCAGTAACCTGGAACCAGGAAGTAAATGTACCTGGTGGACTCAGTGAAATAGCTAGAGATTTTCAGACAAAAGTAATGAAAGTGCCAGGTGGCTTCTTACTGCCTATGACAAAAATACAAAATGAGAGAGATGAGCTTAAAAAAAAAAAAAAAAAACGCATAAAAAATAAGCCCAGGACTCACAGAGTCCACAAATAAAGTGCTTCTCATTTCCAGTCCTTCCAGAAGACAAACAATTCTAAATTAAGAAAGGGTCAAATCCAGAATGGGGCAATAAAATATTTTGTTAAGGGGCCAGAATGATTTAAGACTATGTATGCTTCATGCTCTTTCTGACCAAAAGGCCCTTGAAGAATCTCAAGGGCCACTTTTGCAGATTCTCTCCCTTAAATGGTAAGTTTTTTAAGAATCTCAAGGGCATTGTCTCAAAGCAGCCATACAGGAAGCCCAAAGTAGAGAAGGGCTTAGCTTCAGAAGGTTCAAGGTGTGGTTTTGTCTAATAAAGGAAATCTCAATAGCATTCATAGAAAACCCCTCAAGTTTCCAAGAGAGCCATTCTGGTGGAAGCATCGCCAGCTCAGACTCAAAGGGACAGAAATGGTACAAAATGAAAAGAATCCTTTAAGACCCAAACCTTTTATAGATGGGACGAAGACCAAGAAAGCAATCTCAGTTTTCCTATGGAAAAGGAAGGATGATTCAGGAGACAAAACCAAGACCCATGGAAAACAACCCCAGGAAAGCAGTATTGGATCTAATAATTAAGGAACTGGCAACATGTGCCCAGCTGGATTTCAGAATTTCTACAGACCAGTCACTGCTTCCTTTTGAACAGGTGTTATCTGTAAGTTATCCTATGCCTGTCCCACCATTGTATGTTGGTATGTGGGGAGCAGACAATGTTTTTCTTTAGTTCACAGATCTTCAGATTGAGAAGAACTACACTCAAGGAGCTACTACACTTGAGAATCTGCACCTGAGAGGTCTCCTTTGCACGTGGATCTGATTTAGATGATGAGATCCTAGATCCAGAGCCTGATGTTGTAAAGGGATGGGACTTTTAATGGAGAATCTTGCAAGAAGAATAAATTTCCCAAGTGGGAAAAATATAGGTAATTTATGTCCAGAGAGTAGAGTGAGGTGGTTTGTAAATATGGTCCATAATACTTTGACCCTCTTCTCATAAAGGAGTAGGGTCTATTCTTCTCTTGAATCTGAGCGCCATGACTGCTTAATCAGTAGAATATGGTGGAAATGATGCTATGCTAATTTTGGGGCTTAAGTCTTATGAAAAGGAAGCCTCCACTTCCTGTCTCTTGGGACACTTGCTCTTGGAATGCAGCCACCATGGTATGAGAAGTCCAAGCTACCCTTTGGAGATGTCCATGTAGAGAAGAACCAAGAGCCAGCACCAATTTTGCTAGCCATGTGAATGAACCATCTTGGAATTGGATTCTCCAGCCCCAACTGAGCCACCCCAAATGATGCCATGTGGAAGAGAGATGAGCTGTCTTATTGTTAATATAGTTGAATATATTGATATCACTCTTTTCTGGTATATAAAAGGTTATATACCTTTTCTTTTATAGTTTATGCTTTTGTCTTATTTTTTAAAATCTTTCCTAATCTTAAGGTTGTGAAGATATTTATAACTGTCCTGTTTCAGTTTTGTACTGCACCCATGAAATCAGAGGTTGTTAAAAAACAAACA